AAAATACAGAATGGTTTTTGATGGAGAAGTGGAAGCAATTCCGATTGCTTTAAAACAAATGTTGGCTGTTGAAGATAAATTTGATTGGGTTGTTATTTTCTTCGATTCCTAAGCCGGAATTCAAACCATTGGCTCATTTAGAACTCCTTCATCGGATAAAATCCTTCAGTATCGGAGTCATTTGCGGAAGTTAACTTCAAAGAAGAAAAATTGATGCTTCAGTGGGATTAATGAAAACACACAGGCTGATTTTCTGGCAAATAAGGGCTCCAGATTGCTGTACTCGAAAATGTTCAGCAGCACCATATCATTCTATACAGTGCAAGTTTAGTCAATGGGTGCTTGGGGCGGGTACCCAGGGGTCCAGATAAGCTGGGCTTAACCAGGTTTTTTGGTAATAAATTTCGATCCGTCAGTGCCAAAGGGGCCTTTAGATCTTCTGCACTGAGGTCTTGAAAGAGCTTAAATCGGCACAAATTCCATAAAGCTACACATTAAACAGGCTATGACTTGAAAAAATAAACTACAGCTACTTGACATAATATAGACAAATTGATAGTAATCTGAGTACTTCCTCACAATTCCCAAATACCCACATCGCACACTGGGCAGTTTTCCCAATCTGGCGCACGGGAATTGTTTTATGGCTTTTAAGTCTTCATAATTATATCTAATGATCAAATATCATAGTAGTTAATGTAAATTGGGAACTCTTTTCTGTTTTTTTACTAAGAAATAAGATTAATGGTGTCTTAACTAATTTATGTCCAGCTTGAATTTGATTAAGAATAAATGATTGCTAAGGGGAACTAGTTTTTAAGCAAGGGTCCAAGGATATTGACAAAAACAGTAATTTACACGTGGGAGAATAAAAACAAGAAATAGCGTAGCAAGTTAAGGAAAATAAATTTAATAATTGTTAAAGATAAAACAAATACAATCAAACATAACATTGTACACGTACAATAAAGGCTAATAGGTAGTGTGTAAAAGGACTCGGCACACTTTGAGCATTTTTTTATATTTATGTATTTAAAAATTACATTTTATTATTTCATACAATGTTTATTTAATAAAATGATACGAGATAAAATTTTGCACATATTATTCACACAGTTTTACAAATTTAATTTCTTTTAAAAAATTTGAAATTTTTTAAAATTCTACTCCTTTTGTGTTAATTAATTTTTTGACATGAAATTTTTGTAATATCTCTGAGGATGTTTTAAACACCTTTAGGGATCGATTTTACAATACCTTAATTAGTTTTGGAGGGGAAAAAAAATTAAATTTTGATATATATATATATATATATATACTAAGGATGAGTGCGTCATCTTTGGTGTTTGAGAGTTCACTTACATTATGCAATTATTTGTTTTAGAATTTTATTATTTTAATATGATATCTTTCAGAATGCGATGGCGAATAGTTTAATTTTTCAAGTTTAATGGTTTAATTTTAACTATTTATTTTTTAACTTTTGAATTTTTAACTTTTAAATTTTAACTATTTAATTTCTAACTTTTAAATTTTTAACTTTTAAATTTTTAACTTTTTAATTTTTAAATTTTTAAATTTTAAATTTTTAAATTTTTGAGAATTGGATATTTTAAGATTAATTTACCAAGTTGCAATAGGGGGAAGTTTGGCGCCATCAAACTAGTTAACCCCACTTATCGGTCCTAAGTCCGAGGTTGCACTTGGATATTTTATATATTTTTATTTTATAAAATTTTTTTAATTTTGTTTGAAAACGTTGGAATTTTGTCTTTCTATATTCGCCATTGTTATTCGGAAATGGGATTTTTATGTTATAGGATTCATTTAGTTTCGATTTTTTTTATATTGATTTCTGTGTTGTGATTGAATTATATATATTTAAATATATATATATATATGATAAAATTCAACCAAAAGCCTAATATTTCCCACATTTCAATTTTTTTTTAAAAAGAAGTATTCAAGTTGCAGCAATATAGATCCCTAATTTTGTTGTATGCATTACATATAAGATACAGGGAAAAAATGGAAGGTATTGGTAAATAATTGCGGAAGAAGTAGTATTTTGAACGCGAAAAAAAAATAATAATAAATCGAGAAAAAACCATTTTAAAGCTTATAATTCTGAAAAAAATAATTATTATATGTTTAAATAAACATAAAATACCTCACTAAAATATTAGCTATATATTTTTCTTAAAAATAATGAAATATAATATAAATCTTACTACCCCGACAACCACGCATCATTCGACTTGAAGAAGCACTTTTCATTTCTATGGCACCTTATCCATTTCCCCCCTACAAACAAGCAGAAACTTTTAAAAATATTTCTAAATTGTAATTGCTTCTAGTCCTCATATTTATCAAAGTCCGTTGTAGTTCTAATTAAACTGAAAACAACATTATTTTTGAGCTTGGTATCTTGCTCTTCTTTCCGCACATTGAATAAGACCCGCCGAGTAATACCATCGACCAACACTGAAAAAAAATCATAACTTTGGGAGCAGAAGGAAGTAGCAGCTAAATTTGGTATTATATTAAAGGTCTATATCTAATCTATGTGACTTAAGTGCTACTGTGATCAGTCCGCGTCAATCCCAAAAGTTCTAGTCCATTAAATCAAAAAATTGTGTGTGTACTTATGTACGCACGTAAGAAGTTATACTTCTTTGGCGTAACAGGATTAAAATCTTTCTAAAAATCTTTAGCAGGAAAAGCTGGGCCAAGGTCGAAAGGCGGTCACGAGCAGAGTTGAACGATACTAACCTTCAGTCAATCGGACCAGCCAAACCCGAGACAATCACGATTTAAATAAATTTAAACACTCCCGCACAGGGACAATAGGACCAATAACATGGGGGTTTTCGGCAGACTGTATCTGGAGATGAGGTGAACCTAATGTGACACCTGAGACCTCATATTGAATGTCTCGGCGGGAAGAATTGTTCCTGAAAAAATTAAGACATCCGCTTGAAGAGCCCCCGAGTTATGGTCATTTTAAATTAATTAAAACATTTAAACAATTAAATAAAATATAAGCAGGCACCCAGCAACTCGAAACTCGGTTCTGGTTGTGAGGAAACACAAGAGGAATCCCTTCGCACCGGACCGGAGTGTGTAGTTGCAAATAGGGCGGTGCTAGCTCGGGAAAGGAAAACGAAACTAACTTCCCCGGGGGGGGGAAACAACTGTGACATAAATGGTCAAGTACATCCCAACGATACACAGAGTAGTAGGTGATCCCAAAGTTTCATCCTTCTATTTCTGTAATATCGTGATGTCATCAAAAGATCGAGCCCTATAGGGATAACATGGGGATTCTAATTTGAGTGATAACACCCCCTAGGCCCACTATCTACACACGAATTATAACAGATGAAGCAGCTTAAAGAGGAAAACCTATGGTCCGAGTTTCATTAACGAATCTCAAAAGTCCTCGGAGCTATGCGGGATTTAAGAAAAATATATAACTTAAAAATGCTTAATATGGGTAAAGAAATGGGGCTGTGGTCCTGAAAAAATATATCTAGGATACTCATAGGAAGAACAATCAAATATAACTGGTGCAGTCGACCAAGGCGCATGGGATTCGAGTTATTTCTGGGGAAGCCCTATAGGAGGGAGGGCTAATAGGAAAATATGGCGGACCTCCAAAAATCAAGTTCCAAGCTCAATTCCTTAGGAGTGAGAAATTTTTTCCAGTCCCCATAGGAATAACATGGGAGCATGAAATTTTAGTCCTTAAGCCCTCCCCATTCCTACACAAAGGGAATGAGGCAGATGACTGGATGAGTCTCGACGAGTGGAACACTTGGTTTAAATCTCAAGTCCGGGACGCGAACAGGAGCCGAGATATTCTGAATTTAAACAAATTTAAAAAGTTTAAGACAATTAAGAACTATGAAAGAAATAGCCCTATGAGCATGAAATTATAACTGGAAGAGCAGACAGAGAGGGATCGAAAGAGCCAGGTCCTAATGGACTATGAGGCTCGAGTGCCGAGATATTCGCCAAAACGCTGAAGAGGGGGAATGCACAGGGGATGCGTCCCAACAGACATGGCTTATAACAATAGTTATTATGATCCCCCAAATATCAGTCGCATAACACCAAAAAAGTGGCATGTTAAAATATTAGACAACGCATCGATGTCGTGAAGGTATGCGCACGCATCCGTGACGGTGTGCGCGTGCATCGTAAAAATTTACCCCCATCCATTTTTCCTAACGCCCAAAAAGGATAACTTCAAAAATAAATATACAAATACCAAAGGCTCTTATAATTTGCTACAATGTAATAAATGTGTTTATGTGCTTCGCAATGCGTTCGTAGTAAATACATCTATAATCATATACTTGCAATTGTTATTTAAATAGGTAATATAATATTTACTCTTACGTTTTATGTACATGAAACACAATTTTAAAATTAATTTACTAATTTTTTTTTATTTCCTGTAAGTATGTTTGGTTTAATAACAAAAAGCGTTCAAACAAATGCATCAGAGAAGATCCGTAGGCGAAGGACGATCTCTCCCCACTAGTAGTGACGTCACAAATCAGCGCGAAGCAAAGGTTTGCGGACACGGGGGTATAGCTCAGTGGTACACATTCGAATGCTAATCGAGAGGTCCCCGATTCAAATCAAGGTGCCCCCTTCTTCAGAGAAGTGAAGTGAAATATTTGTTTTTGAGAACTTTGAAGGCGGAAATGATCTGTACCGTTCTGTATATTTCTAGACTAAGCATTTTCGTATCCGTTCCTACGCAAAGCAAAGGTTCCCGAACGTGGGGTATAGCTCAGTGGTAGAGCTTTCGACTGCAGATCAAGAGGTCTTCGGTTCAAGCCTGGGAGCCCCTTCTTCAGGGAAGTGAAGAGAAATATTTTTTTTGAGAACTTTGAAGGCGGAGATGATCTGTACCGTTCTGCATATTTCTAATCAAAGCATTTTCGTATTCGTTCCAACGGAATGCAAAGCAAAAGTTAGCTGACGCTGGGGTATAGCTCAGTGGTAGAGCATTCGAATACTAATCGAGAGGTCCCGATTCAAACTAAGGTGCCTCCTTCAGGAAGTGAAGAGAAATATTTTACTTGAGAATTTCGAAGACGGGAACGATCTCTGTCCCGTTCTGTATATTTCTAGACAAAGCAATTTCGCATCCGTGACGGTGTGCGTGCGCATCGAAAAAATTCACCCTCATCATATTTCTTTAACCTCGCCAAAAGAAGTATAACTTCAAAAACTGACATACGTTAGTAGGAGTTACATGCTGTGCAAAAAGTTATGTTTTTACAATTTTTAATCGAACTTTGACTTAATTTGAAAGTCAAATCAAGAAATTACTTACCCATATCGTCTATTTTCAACAAAACCGCGCTAAAATCTGCAAAATCCTTTTCAGACGAAACGATAGAACTTGCGACTGTAAAATGAGGATCTCGCACAAGTACTTTTTGTAACAAGAACAAACCCTATCTATACCGATAATTGTTGACGATTTCCATTCGCGTACTGACAAAAACTGTTTACCACATGGCTAGGGAACTGAGAGGGCAATAAATTGGGGATTGTTACTATTTTTAGCGCAATTTTATTTTTTTGGATTTCCGTGTGCCACATTGGAAAAACTACCCACTGTGCGTATAAAGCTGTAGCTCAGTTCCGTCTTTAGAGAGGTCACGACTGCCTGGGTGAACATCATCACATCGAGAGTTTTGAAGAAACAAACTGTCTTCTTTGTAATTTGGCTGAGCGAATGAATCAAACTCACCTCCATCGTTCTTTGTCAATACCTGGCAAATCTGTGATGACGAGATGCTGGCAAACTTGTGAACTCTTGCGGCAATGACTTCGTTCAATTTTGTTGGAGTTTTACATTTGTTGCGTTACTTATTCTGCTCTTTGTATTATTCCCTTGTAAGCTATGCCATTGGGGAAAAAAGTATTTCTACACGTCTAATTGACAGTTGTCTGATAACATTAATGAGTGTTGTTTCATAAGCTATCTCTGTGTTTCCTTGGAAAAGTTTAACCCCAGTACAATGGTTATCAATAAAAAAATAAAAACGTACCACTCTACATTACAATGGCAAAATGAATATATTTTCTTATGGAATATGAATGGAAAAGCCTTTATTTTCTAAGTAACACAAGTATGCGAGTATGCCTATAGGGAAAATGTTACATCAAATAGCATTAAAAAATTGGTCATTCAGCAATATTAGACGAAAAATTTCCCTTCAGATATGATAATAAGGAAAGACAGGGTTTTTAATTAAAAGATGAGTTAACGTCCATAATCACAATACTATTGACTGCAATAAATATAAGAAGACTAATACAAATATAAATCTGGCAATGTATTTATACACATCGTATCTGTTTCCTGGATCAGTGCTAAACAATAAAAACCTTATGAAAGCTATGAAAGGATAAAAAGTTTTTTTATAAAGCAGCTTATAACTTATTTAATAATTTCAAGAACAAGTTAAACGTATAATAAATTTCTAAAATTTAAAAAAAATTTCCCCTGCATTTCCCCAGTAGTTTAAAAGGGGAAAGAATGGATTTTAATACAAAAGATGATTAACTCCATTAAAAAATTGGAAAAATATAGCTATTTTCTCTCAATTTTTCATGTATCTTTTCTAAGGGCTTAATTGGTATGAAGTTAGAAAATATTTTGAAGAATTAGCTTTCAATTTTTTTAAATTGTCAGAAAATTTAAATATAAAGAATTTCCAAAAAACATTCCCAGTACTAAAACAATTAATACAAAAGATGATTATTCACAGTTAAAAAAATTGGAAAAATTCTTTTTCCCGGATTAAATTCAAGATGGTCCTCACTTAGCGTTTAATAGCAGATTTCTTTTTATTTATTGCCGTAAAAATAATATAACCGTTTTCTCATACAACTGTATTATTCATCAGCAAACATTCTGTAAAATTTTTGGGGATAATACAGATACCTGTTACTGGGTTTTGAGCCAGAAAATTTATTTTTTTCTCTGAAACGAAATTCTATGTGGTACACGCGTTTTTTCGTTTCAGCTGACTCATTCCTACGGGAACACACCCAATCCTTTTGCTGTGTGCAATAATTAGAGTTTAGTATTTATATGTTGTGTGCTTATTGTTTATAGTACATTTCAGCATTTGTGCTTATAATAAACTCTGATATCTAATCCATGGAGAGGAATTTACTCCCCCAAAAAAACAAAACATGCACTGAAGTTTGTTGTGGAAATAATTACCTATATGTTTTATATATGCATTATAAATGCTCTTCAATGAAAGCATTGACAGATGAATTGAAGAAGTACATACTAATGCCAATTGAATAAGCACCTTTACTAAGGTAAAGATACTTATTTATGCTTTTAAACAAAGTTCTGAAAAAAAAGATCAATATATCGAGAAGCAGAGATAATCAATATTGAAAAAGATGTATCCAATTTGAACACAACCAGTCTACACAAAATAGTTTGTATACATAGAATACATCAAACGACTGAGTATATAAGTGAATCATTGGTGAACATCTCGAATAATTATTTTCTTTCCACTTTTCACTTTATTGATGAGAAACTATACGATCAATATATATGTACGTATTTCACTCAAAATTAATAATCCTGAGATGAAAACTTAAGTACAGATTAAATGCGTTTTTTATACTATCCTGTCAACTCAAATATCGAAAAGAATTCAAAATCAATACAATATAGATGCATCGACGTCGAAATAATTGAACCATTAAAAATGAACAATGCCGTAATCATCGAGTGGTATCTTATTTTGTTTTAAATTCCGAGATAAATACAGTCAAACATTGTGCTATTAAAGACTGTAACCAACTGTAGAGTTTCAACCATTATCTATTGAAGAGGAAGATATCTGAATCGTTATTTCTGGTCAGTGAATTATTTCGCTATCAAAATGGAACGGTGTTCGAAGCCTCGAGTGTTGCATAGGAATTATCTTTAAATTTTATATAATAATTTTATCGAACTACAGTTTTGAGCTATTGATTTTTTTGGTTAACAAACTGCAGAATTAGAGCCATGATGAAGTGAAGAGGACGATAATTGAATAGTTATCTCGAAGTATGGAATAAATTATTCATCAAAAAGCTGCAAAGGCGCAAGTGTCGTGTATAGCGTTTGGAATTCTTTTTCGGTTACCCATCCACAACAAAGGTAATTATATTTTGGGTGTAAAATACTTTTAATGCATTTATACTATTTTCTTAAATTGGGAGAGATTAATTCTTATTATTGGTTCTTCCATTTAATGTTATTTTTCTCCCTTTTTTTATTGTACATTTTTTTTTTCAATCCCATAACCTTTTTTAAAGTTTTTTCATGCCAATATACGATTGGCTGATGTGAAAAAAATTTAATATTTTTTTAATTCTGAACGTAAAACAGAGAAACAGAATCGGTCTCTTCTGAACCTCTTTGAATCTCATTTACGGTATAGAAATGAATGTAATTTAACTAAAGATCCGTGAAATTTAGCAACGGGAGTTAATTGCGGAGGACGTATACCAACATCTGTTGTGGTCACAGCTGCTGTGTGATAAATTACAACAGCAATTATATATCACGAATTCCATTCTTGGTACTTAGTTGTTAATATAAACAATACCAGTCTTTAAGGTATAAAAAATTAGCAGAAGATTTACATCAATGCTATTTTATGCAATATTTTTTTAATAATCTGAATTTTAATAATTTAATGTCTGAGGAAAATAATGATAATAATTTAATCCAAAGTTTGTAAAACAGAATAAAATGCAAGTGTTAGTAAAAATATAAGATTTAATTGCATACATTTTAGATTATCTGAGAGAGACAGATCATTATTTTTTTAATGAGTTAACGTTGTCCTTTAACACCGAGAAATCTCTATATAGGTCTTAAATAATTTGTATTTTCATAGAAGACTTAGTTTTTCGTATTTTATTCAGCATTTTTAATAGTAAACACACACAAAAAAAAATCTGCTCGTAAAGAGGCCTACCAAATTTCCTTTTTGTATGTATGTATATATGTACCTCAAAATTATACTGGTTATATATATATATATATATTATTAATTCCACTAGGCAACGAGTTTTCAAAAACGTTTCTACTGACGAAATGAATATAGTCAATCCGTAGTGAATTCAAGACGTTGAACCCAAATATGTTAAGGGAAATGCTGAATAGGCTACGTTTTTGGGTGTTTTAGTAGTAAATGCATTTTTTTAAAAAGTGTACTTATGTACGTAAATTTTAGAGTACATGTTAGAAATACCTTAATATGCTTCGGACTACATTTCTTTTTGTCTGTTACTGGAAATGGACATGGGGAACATCTGTACAAATTTCCCAACAGTCGTCAGTCATCAATACTGTAAACTAATCTCCCTGGAACCGTTTCTTGTTGTTGGTAATGTTCTAATGAAAACGTTCATTATAATCATCTCTCTCTCTCTCTCTCTCTCACTAACTTGTCCACATTTATCAGGAATGAAGTTCAAGTAGTAGTCCAGAGAGTGGAGCTTTATGGACATATTATCACAGAAATCTGCAAAAAAAGCCAACATATCCTGAATAAGATCTTTGTATATTTCGATCTTGCCATTCCCTGAGAAGTTTGTTGGCACATAATCAAACCTATCCCAATCTTGCTGTTTTTATTTTGAAGAAGTTTCTTAAATTTAGGGTATCTAAAGAGCTGTTTAATCTGAGTCCTCATAAAAACGTTTTCCTTAATTTTGGTTACGTTGAACCGAGGGAACTTTTTTACGCTGGTGCTTGAATTATGGTCCATTTTTATCTGTGGCTTATACCAAGTTTTGACAAGGCCAAGCTAGGTGTGTAAAGACAATATGATGATTTTATGCAGATTTGACATATAGGTAGGTAATCTACATTCATTTCACCTGGCTGTAAAAATTTTCTCTGAGGCCAAATGAGAAATTTTTTTTCTCTGAGGAAAGAATCTCTGTTGCGTTACGAAATCATTCATTTTTTCAATTCCTACTGTTAGGTCACACTCTCAATTTATTTGTTT